GCTGAGATGCCCTGACGCCCCCCCCAAACACCCCAAAACTGCCTCAAACCACCCCAAACCACAGCCCCGATACCCCAAAATGCACCAAAACCACCCCAAAAGTGCCCTGAACCCCCCCTAACCCCCCCTCCTCTTAGGGGTGCCTGATTTTCCCCCGCAGGGCAGGAGCAATTTTGCCCAATTTCACCCCAAAACATGTGGATGGGGGAAGGGAGAGGGAACCGGGGGAAAAAAGGGGAAGGAGGGAAAAAGGGGGCAAAAAGGGAAAAAATATGGAAAAAATACAGAAAAAATATGGAAAAAATATGGAAAAAAGTGAAAAAAGGAGAAAAAAGGGGGAAAAAGAGGGGAAAAAGAGGAGGAGAAGGAGGGAAAGGGAAAGGGAAAAATGTGTAAAAATATGAAAAGAAGTGAAAAAAGGGGGAAAAATGTGAAAAAAGAGGAAAAAGGAAAGAAGGAGAAAAAAGAGGGGAAAAGGGGAAAAAGGGAGAAAAAGGGAAAGGGGGGGAAGGGGGAAAAGGGGAAAAGATTGGGGAGAAATTGAGGGAAAGGGGAAAAAGGGGAAAAAGGAGGAAAAAGGGGTAAAGAAAGACAGGGGAAAAAGGGGAAAAGGGGGGAAATGGAAGAAAAAATGGGGGGAAAAGAGGAAATGGGGAAAAAAGATAAAGTGTAAGAAAAAAGAAGGGACGAAGGGAAAAATGGGGGAAAAGGTGGAAAAGCGGAGAAAAACAGAGAAAGGGAGGAGGAAGAGAAAAAATGGGGAAAATGGGAGAGAAGAGCTGAGATGTGGCGACACCGGGAAAAAGGTCAAAAGCGGACAAAAAGGTCCAAAATGGGGGAAAAGGTCAAAAACGGAGAAAAAGGTCCAAAATAGGGAAAAAGGCACAAAAAGAGCGGAAAAATTTTCTCCCCAATTAAGGCAAACCCACCCATTTCCCACCACAAATGGTTTTTTTCAGTCCAACACGCCGCCACATCCACGCACCTCCCGCTTCCCTCCAAATCACCCCAAAACCACCTGCCCCCCCCAGCCCTGAAAACGCTCATTTTTGGGTATTTTTCCCCATTTCCCTCCTCACCTGATCTTAATTCCCCCCTAAATCACATATTTCACAAATTAACGCATAAAAATGTACATTAAAACCCCCCTCTAGGCCTATTTTTCACAAAAAGACTGCAAATATTACAAAAAAAAGTGATTATGCCCCCAAAATTGCCTTTTTTTTTTCCCCTGCTCTTAAAGGGCCAGCACCCTGCAGGGTCAGGCAACAGCAGCAGTAGATTTCTGGGTTAATTATAGCAAGAATTGGTTAATAATTAGGGAAATATAGCGCCTTTAAGGCCCCATCCCATCCCCCGCCCCTGAACACAGGGCTTATTCAAGAAGAAAATAAAAAAAAGCCCTGTTTTGCCCAAACTGACCCAAAAAGACACAATAAGCAACGCAAAAGTACGTCGCGAGCCAGCTGCCGGCGACAGCGCGGCGCTGCCCGCCCGGGGCCAAAATGCCTTTTTCTCTGAAAAACCATCAATTCGGGTAATTCCGAAAAGTAATTTGGCCTCGGCAGGTTTTGGTGGAAAAAAAAACAAAACAACAAGATAAACAGATTTGGGGGGTTTTTTTTTGGGTTGAAAACACCCACTTTGCGTGGTGAAAGATGAATATTAGGAATTGCAGCCTGGGGAATACTCCCAATTAAACACACATAAAAAAATCCACTAGAAAGGTGTTAACGTATAAATAGGGCTAAAAAAAAAAAGCACTAATTTGGCCCCCAAAAATGGCATTTTGTAACCAAAAAAAAGCACTTTTTAATGAAAATTTAAACACAAATGCCACTATAGTATGGCAGGGTTGGGAGGATTTTGCCCCAAATTGGCTGCTTCCCTGCTTCAGTGCACAGTTTGCAGGTTGCAAGCATGAGTGCTGTACTCACACTCTACTCAAGGTTTACACTCACCACCCCCCGCCCCCCCAACCCCCAGGGGTGCTCCTTACATAGATTGAGCCTGCCGTGACCCCTTGCAATGCGACATAGAGCACCCCACTGTGCTTCCTCATAGGATGCTACACAGCTACTCCAAGGATGCTACACAGCTACTCGAAGGCACTGCAAGATCACGCCACAATGCAGGGGGCTGATTTGCATGCGGTGGAAACCTTGCAAGTATGCAAGGAGGTGTAATAGGTCCCAGAGGGGAGTTATTCATAGGATACTACACTGCTATTCCGATGTGCAACCACACTGCAATGGGGTAGGCTGGTTTGCATGCTGTGGGATCAGGTGTATCCCATGACCATGCAAGGAAGCATGCAGGCCCAAAGGTGGCCTACTCATAGGATCCTACACAGCTACTCATAGGACACTATACAGCTACTCCACACTGCTGCATGACTATGCCGTGATGGAGGGGGCTGAGTTGCATGTGGGGTGTACCTTGGTGGCATGTGGACCCCGAGGGAGTCCTGACTCACAGGATATTACAGCGCTACTCCCGACATGTTGTATGACCATGCCACAACGCAGGGAGACCGTCAGGGGAGCCCCGTAAGGGTGCAAGGAGGCGCACAGGCCATGAGGGGGCTTACTCACAGGTTACTATGCCACTACTTTTGCATGACCACGCTGCAATGCAGCGAGTCAGTATGTGTCAAGGAGGTGGATTTTGCAGGTGTGTGAGGAGGCACGTGCTCCCAGGAGTAAGGGGTGGCCTTACTCACTCCTCATCCTGGAGGCGCTCCTCTTCCTCCTGCGCCTGGAGACGCCCCCGCACGGGGGCCAGACCCTCGGTTGCAGCATCGTAGTTGCGGAAGCAGACGGTGAGCTTCTCGTCGAACTCCTGCACCAGGTCCTCCATCGACTTGAAGCTCATCATCTCGGCCGAGAAGCTCTCCAGTTCAGCCAGCGCCGGGTCCGCGGTGCGTTGCGGGGTCCCCCCATCGTCCCCGGGTCCTTCCTCAAACTCCTCCTCCAGGCTTACCAAGGGTGCCTCCATCCTCAACGCCGACGCACCGCCTTAGCTGCGGGGAGAGGGTGCCTGTGAGGCACCGGGCTACTCACAGGTTACACCACCACCAGGGCTTCCCACTTCCTTTGCTGCTGCCGTGCTGGTTGAAACCCTACTGCTAGGGCTATTATACAACCAACAGTATCTCTGTAGTATCCTAGTAGTATCCCAACAGCATCTCAGTACTGTCTTCATAGAAATATTCTGATAACCTGATGCTATACTAGTAGTACTTTACTAGTAGCAACAAAGCGTTGACAGTGGCCCAAGTACCTTAACGCTATCCTGATAGTATGTAAAAAGTATCATAACACTACCTTTATTACAGAACTGGTAGTATCTTTATACTATATCACTACTATCTTAGTAGTGGCTGCAAAGTATCAGACTAGTATCAGTAATGTGCTGACAGTATCCCAAAAGTTTGAGTGCTGCCCTGATAGTATCCCAGAAGTATCTTACCACTATCTTTTCTAGTGCCCTTATAGTATCTCAGAAGTATACTACTGACATTTTACTAGCATCCTGGCAGCATCCTACTAAAAAATGAGTACTGCTCTGATTGCACGTTAGCAGCGTTGTGATACTACCCTGACACCACCTTAGTAGTACACCAGTAATGGCCCTGTAGTATCTTAGTAGTGCCTCGACAGTGTTGTGGAAGTATCTCAGCAGTTATCTTTGGAGTAGCCAGGCAGTATCCTGGTAACATCTTAGCAGTGTCCTGATAGTACCATTGCGCAATACTGAGAGTATCTTAGAAGCAGCCGTTGAATAGCTCAGCATTGCCCTGATGCTGTACTATCACAGGTAGGAGTATCCTGATACTATGTCAGGAGCATCCCAATACCATCCTAGTTACATCCTGACAGTGCCCTGATAGTATCACAGTAGTACATGAGCAGTGTCCTGATAGGATCCTAATAGTGGTGTAACAGTACATAGCTATTACCTTAGTAGTGTTCTGATAGTATCTTGGCAGTGCAACGTAATACTCAGATATTTAGTGCCATGTTACTATGCTGCAAGCAACTTAACCATATCTGTTGTAGTATCCTGGGAGTATCCTGATGGTGTGTTAGCACTGCTCCAGTGGTATTGTCATAATAGTATCTCAGGATCAACCCTGGAAAGATGCTGGAAATATCTTAGTCGTGTCCTGACAGCATCCTGGTAGTGCCCTGATAGTATCTCAGCAGCGTTCCCGCAGTATCCCAAGAGCATCCACATAGTATCCTGACAGTATCTTAGTGCCACCCTGAGAGTGTCTTAGTACTGTCTGCCTAGTATCCTGACATCACTTCCGTAAACTCCTGATAGCATCTTAGTAGCATCCCAGTAGTATCCTGAGAGTATCTCAGCTGTGCCTTTGATAGTGTCTCACTACTCCCTCACCAGGTTACTGAGAGTATCCCAGTAGTATCTTAGCAGTAGCCTCACAGGAAGCAAACAGTAACCTAGTAGTAAGCCAGCAATAGCCCAGTAAAGGTGTCACTACCCCAACCCACTCACCCAGTCCGGGCCACGCTTCTGCTGGGGAGGAGAGCAGAAATACGCTGCAGCTTTTGGGGGAAAACCTGGCCAGGTCGGGGCTTTGAGTACTGCCTGTGCACACGTGCACTCACACACGTGTGTAGCATGTCCACACGCCCACTGTGCACACGTGCACCCCCCCCTCGACGC